TTTAGCGATCACAAATGACGCAGTGCACCGTATATACGGCACCGATCAAGTGTAGGGTATCAATTCGGGTACTCCTCCTCGGGGGAATTTATTTGAACTGCGTGCCGCAACGTTTGCAACTGCGGTTAATGCAAGCCAATAGATAAGATAGCGAATCTTTGATGTCCCAGCGGGTTCTTGACCTCATTCAATGTTCCCCTTTTGTAATATTCAAATTGTCCCTAAGCCGTAATGATGATGTAGTAATAAAGATAAACACTTGAGTGTGGTTTGATAATGAAATAATGCGTTCAGACCAAAGATAACGTGAAGGCTATTGGGTAAATAGAAATATGGAAAACAAATATAAAAATGTATTTCAAAACCATTTTTGATAAGTTATTTATACTTGTATAGTGCAATTGATATTTATATTGATTCAAATAGGAACAGGATTTGCTGATTTAACTTTATACATGTATGCCTTATTGAAGTTGTGGTTAAATATATTTTTATATATTGCAATAATGAATGAATAATAATTTGCAATACATTTTGAAATAAAAAAATGGTAAAATGTATATTTATTTTATAGAACTAAGATTCATGTTCAAAAGTTGACTATATGGCAGACGTTTAAAAGAATATCCGCTAAATGACCCAAATATATTACGCAATTTCCACAAGCTCGTTTAAATTCTGAAGAAAACTCAGTTACAAAACAATTTGTAATAGAGCCCTTAACCATTTATTGTACAAAACCAGACCAGTTTAAATTTACGTCGTAGTTTATTTGAGTTTCTGCGTAGGGCATACACAAATTCGTGGAAGTTTATTCTCGCTGGTTGGGCAACTTGTTGTTTGGCTTTGTAGGTTTTTAGGCCAAAAACGGGTATTTGGCATTTGCTGTTTTTGGTATGTGGGTACGTTTGAACGTACGAGATCTGAAGAGCGTAGTAAGGGGCCAGTCGGGGTCACTCCCCCGCACCGCCGCGCCGATATCTTCATCTTTGAGATACAAACACAACCTACAGATGTTTTTCTTTCGCGATCGTTTTCTTTGGGTATTGTTGTGCCTGTTCGCGTATCTGTCGCCCACTTAATTTACTATGCATTCTGATCATATGTGCTACAGTTGAGCGCAGCAACAACAGCCCCACAATCAGGGAATTTATCGTTCTCATTCTGGGTTGAGAAGTGGCAGTGTCTAGACTCCACAGACGGCCTGCTCCACAAACGAAGATCAAACATCATTGGTACACGCTTGTTTGCCGAGCTCCCCATTTAACACTACCCTCATTTTTTGGAGCTCCCCCTTTCCGCCCTCCAAACACCTCTTCAATTGTTGTCCTATGACAAATGAAGTTGTTATTTTGTTTATGTCACGTTTATGGACACACGATCTCTTTCTATTGCCCCCCAACACTCACGATCACGTTCCGTGTTGATTGCGATTGTGGTTTCTATTTTGTTTCTGCTGGTTCGTAAGTGAAAGTATGTGGAACATGACGTACTCTAGCTGCTGCTCTCCGCATGTTCGGCTTCTGCGGCGGCTTCTGTGGATTCCTCAAAAGGTCAAAGTGTTTGCCGCCGAGTTTGCTCACCAGCCAGCCCACTTGATAAGACGCCGAAGGCACAGGCAGCGGCACCCCACAGTCTTTCAGTCAATAGAATGCCGAATGTTGTACATCTTTTGATACCTATTACTCTAAAATATCATGGCTTAAAAGGATTTTAACATTATATAATGTTTACACGAATATTTAACATAAAAATTATGAAAATTTATGCCCATTTAATAAGCTGTAAAGTTGTTTATTGCATTGCAATATAAAAAAGTAAATGATACAAAAATGCATATCCCTAAGTAGAATTTCCATAATGAAAAAGATATATTTTATAAAACAACAAGAACTTTGCAGCTTGAATATTAATTACTTACTTCGTTTGCAAATTTTACGCAATGAAACCTTTTATCATTGAATTGTAATAATTTTTTTATTTCCCAAAGATATTTATTGAAGACTCACAGTTTATGAGGCTTTAACTTATTTTTTAGAAAATTATGCTTAACCAGGGACTTAAGAACTATTTAAAAATTGGCTTTAAAAAATCATGATGTGTTTTGATTGGAAAAAAAGGTCGTTTGTCCTGTAACAAACCTTAGCTTAATCCCTAGAAAAGGTAGAAATTCAGAACAAGGCCGTAAAGTGTTTGTAATGAATGTTTTGGCTGCACATTTTACCCATTAAGCCTTAATCCTTTTAGAAATCAAAGAAAAATGTGAATTTTTTAATGAAAATAAATGAAATTCGATGCTATAATAATAAACAATATGCTGAGTATGTGATTGTTCATACTTGTTCTCTGTGCAAGTGCAATGAGCGTTGACTGCGTCGCTAGTTACATGTGTACAAATGCTAAAAGACATCGAGTATGTGGGCGGAGGGGGAATTGGGTGGTACATGCAACCGCGACTCTTGGGCGGCGGCATCTTTCAACTGGCGACGGCATCCCGACAATGCCGCAGCTCCAGCTGAGACTCCGAAGTGGCGGCCAGCTACCCGGTACCAAAAGCGACTGCCAGCCAGCCCAATCAAATCGCAGTGCCGGTGCCGAGCTTCCGAACTAATTACATTGCAAAATACCTGAAATGTTGCGAACGGCAGGAAATCAACGAAACGGGAACGTTGCTCACTTTTCTGGAATGGTTGGTGGGTCTGTGCCTGGATCCGGTGATCAGATCAGAGCTCCGCTGGCCGGAAATATGCATGGCTTGGCCAGCAAGCTTTTGGCCAACTCCAAATGGGCGCAGAAAAAAAGCAAAGCGAAATATTTGAATGTGGCTCTCGTCAGTGTCAGGGATTGGAAGATCCCCACCTCCAAGCTGCCATGAATCCCCTGCCCTCTTAGCAACAACAAAAATAACAGAAACAGAAACAAAAACAAAAACAGACCGTGTGCAACGGAGCAGAGAGCTCGGAAATTAATTCAGTTGCAGGCCACAAGGCGCGTATTTCTGCCGTTGTGTTTGCTTTGTTTCCATTTCGCCACCGTCGCACTCACGGGTCAGTTGGGATCGAATCCCGGGTTCAGATGCCTCTCCTATAACCCCACCTCATATAAACTATACACATATATTTTCTGAGCATATATGTAGTATATATAATAGGCGTGACAAGCGCGTTACGCTCCGCTGACGCCCAAAATAATCAAAGACTCGAGTCGAGTCGAGACGCTGGCGATGGCGATGACGATCAAGTGATGGAGTGAAGTGGGGGTGGAAAGCGAAATACACTGATGGGAAATTGGTTTTAAATAAATCCATTAAACATTTATAATTCATTTCATGAATTTCTAAAATATAAAAAAAATCATTACCAAATCAAACAATAAAAACAAATAAATAACAAATACTATTCGGTTCTTAAAAATATGTTAGATGAAGATTTAAAAGGTAACAAGCTAACTAACATTTTTTATTTTTATACCCTTGCAGAGGGTATTATAATTTCAGTCAGAAGTTTGCAACGCAGTGAAGGAGACATCTCCGACCCTATAAAGTATATATATTCTTGATCAGCATCACTAGGCGAGTCGATCTAGCCATGTCCGTCTGTCCGTCTGTCCGTCTGTCCGTCTGTCCGTCTGTCCGTCTGTCCGTCTGTCCGTCTGTCCGTCCGTTTATATGCAAACTAGTCTCTCAGTTTTAAAGCTATCTGCATGAAACTTTCCCAAAAGTTGTCTTTCTATTGCAGGTAGTATATAAGTCGGAACGAGCCGGATCGGACGACTATAGCATATAGCTCCCATAGGAACAATCGGAAAAATAAATGAAAAAAAATTATAACTTTGCTGTTTTTTAATTTTTTGTTTTTTTCTTCGACATATAGCAATGGTTAAATATTTCAGAATTATGGTTTAAATTTCATCAAAATCGGACGACTATAGCATATAGCTCCCATAGGAACAATCGGAAAAATAATTGAAAAAAAATTATAACTTTGCTGTTTTTTAATTTTTTGTTTTGTTCTTCGACATAAAGCAATGGTTAAATATTTCAGAATTATGGTAAAAATTTCATCAAAATCGGACGACTATAGCATATAGCTCCCATAGGAACAATCGGAAAAATAAATGAAAAAAAAATTATAACTTTTCTGTTTTTTAATTTTTTGTTTAGTTCTTCGACATTTAGTAATGGTTAAATATTTTCGATTTACGGTTTAAATTTCATCAAAGTCGGACGACTATATCATATAGCTCCCATAGGAACAATAAAAATATATAAAATAACTATCAAATAATTGAGCTGCAAATCATCATAGCTTCAATGTTTTTAAACTTATACGCAAGTAAATTATAATTTTAATGTTTTCAAAAATGTTTAATTCTTGCAATAGCTGCAAGGGTATATGAACTTCGGCTTGCCGAAGTTTGCTTTCTTTCTTGTTTACACATAAAAAGTTTCATGATAAACATATCCTACTAAAAAATGTGTGTTTCCAAACAAACTAAGTAAAACTGTTACTGTTTATTCACTAACTCTTGCATTTCTCAATTATACATTTTTTCCGCATTTTCTTCCAGTGTTGTGGGAGTAATAAAGATGGGATTTGAATAGCGGGAGTACTGGAGTTGGGGGAGCTATGTTAATTACACCATGTCAGACGTGAAATTTCAATTTTTTGTTGTTCATTCCCATTTCTTTAATTTTTTCGTTGGTCGCTTAACGAGCTCATCTTGGAGGCACTCTGAAAATTGTATCAGAATGTCTTGTGGAATGAGATATAATGGACGATAATGAACTCAGGCCGATTCAGGTGAACTTCAGTGGTGGAGGTTAACTTAAATGATGGGCAGAGATTCAGAGAACATAGAGCGAGGGTGCTGAGAAAACATGTTAGATATTTGCCTTTGTGTAAGGTTAAGATATAAGATTCAATAATTTACTTGGACAACTTTAAATAATATTCATTTATTAAATGTAAAGGGAAAAATGTATACCTTTTCTACTTTTTTTAATCAAACTGATTTTTAATTTCATCGGATGCCTCAAAGCCACCTGTTATGCCAAACTGAAGTAGTATAAAGAGATAGGATATAATGGCTGATAGGATGAGAAGGATAAACTCGTTGTTAAGGTGAAAAAATCCCAATACTTTGAATTCCAGCAGTTGCGTTTGCTGCTGACAAAGAAAAGTTTCCACCTGGGGAAGTAAATATATATTTGAAATATAAATTTAGCGTAGCTAAAACCCCTCCAAACTCACACTCTTATCCCAACGCTGATCCATATCGCTGCACACTAAATCCAGTGGCAATCTCTTAGGCATTTGCGACTCCCTCACTGTATAATCTGCACACATAATGAGCAACACTAGATTGGCCAACTTGACAGCAGCCATGACCAAAGACACCAAAGCCACTTCATCGTCGTTCAGATAGTGCAGAATATATTGATAGAGCATTATGCAAATGGTTATGAAATTGTAGTAAATGTAGAAGAGGATCTGCCACTGCAGCATTTTGCGAAAGGCGTTGGTGACCTCATACAGTTCACTGTAGATAATGGCACACTCATCCAACTCGTCTGCAAAATCACACAGGAGTCGCATCCTGCGATAGTGACTCATTCGCTGCCCCTCCTCCTGCGATTCAATGGGTTCCATTCGCTTTAGCATGGCCAAAATGTTCGCAGCCATGTGCTCGTACATGATTCCGGAGACCAAAAACCCCAGGAAACAGGCATCCAAGACAAAGACCGTGCCAAACCACATGTAGACACCAATGACGACAGCCACCGAGTGGAGAATGCTTGCAAAGTTTTCTTCCTTGAGCAGCGGTATAAACTCATGGAAATAACCGCACAGTGTGAAGAACAACTTGAGCAAAAAGAAAACGACAAATTTCGGTGGAAACAACTGCTCCAAACGAGTGGTAGCACATATCCTCTGGTAAAGGGCCAAATATCTATTCATCACCTTTTGAAATTTGTTCTCACCCGTTGCCTGGATTATGAATGATATGGTTGCCAAAATGGTAACGGAAAGGACTTGAAGTGTAGCTACCAAATCCGCATAGCTCTCTATTCTTGTGCCCAAGAGCGGAAATGTAAGTGTGGGCCAAACTGCTGCGTATATTACAATGACCAAACAGCGCCACAGGGTGCTGAGGATGCCTTTGTTGCTGCCCCTTTTAGGGGGTCTTAGTTGCAGTTTATCCTTGTCCAATTTCGAGGAGAGCAGCGATAGTCCGAGTGCCATACGATATAGCCACAAGAGCAGGAATCGCGGCCACCTCTCCACTCTTTTCCCGGCCATAATCGAGCCACAACTGAAGCCTGAAGCCTGAAGTCTGAAGTCTGAAGCCTGAAGCCTGGCTAATGACATGTCCTGCCTTTGCGATAAGTCTGTTGATTTTATTAATTGAATGTGTGGATATCGGCAATTGCCATTCACGCTCCGCTGAGTGCCTCGCTGACTGATTGGCCCCCAGTCCCCAGTCCCCAGCCCCCAACAATCGGGACACGGAACTCGGGGATTGGTTGTCGGGAATCGATGATGATGGACAGGCCAGCCCCGGGACTTATAGGCATACCCAGTCCCAGATCCACTTGGTCCCAGTTCTTGCCCTTCAGGCACACTGGCACACAACAGATGGTGCTCGAAAAATAAAACCATCATCGGTACAACAAAAAAAATGGGCGTAAATTGATATTTATGCCCGTGTCAATAAAGTTGTTTCGGGTTGATGGACTACAGAAATCAGCCGAATTTTGTAATGGAGGTGAATGTACGAGTATTTACCAAAAATTATTCACATCTTTCTTTAAAATTTCTATAACTTTTCTTCGGTTTATTTTTGTTTATTTGAATTACTTTTGAAAATATTTCGGGATTAATGGAAACGAACTCATAAGAAACATATTTTGAATTATTGTAAAAACCAATATGTTTAAAGCTTAATAATATATCTATATATGTCATGTAAAAAGGTTTCCTGTTTTTATTAAACTTTTTAAATACATATACAAAGGTATCTCCTAACAACTGAAAACCACCATGATATATAATTATATCATGTGGCTTTGCTTTTACACTGTTGATTTATAAAATGTTGTTCTAATAATTGTTTGTATTTATCAACAAAAAACAAGTTGATAATCAATCTCTTTTTGGTTATATCTTGTATAGCATGTCATTTAGAACAATTAGTTACGTTAATTCTTCTCATTATCTTGATTCTCCTAATTCGAATGTTAACACATGATAAACTAATTGAATGCAATTTTAGGTATAAACAATTAAGTATTCATTAGCCTACATAAATTCATGAGTAGGTTAAAATATCTTTGTTATTAATATTAACAGCACATTATATAATATTTATTTTACGATAAAATTTTGTATTTCCAAAAAAAAGCCACATAATTCCAGAGTAAATATTACGGAAATTGCTTATGAGTTCAGTGTGTGCAAGCAAGTATCAACATTAAATATGTAATAATTTCTTATCAAGGGAATCCAGTTTATTGGCGAACTAAAAACCTCGACCCGTTTTCCTCGTTCGTTGCCATTTAAATCGTTGTTTTGCGAAACACCAGCGCCAATGTGCCATTTTCATTTGATTTCTCCCTTAACGCTTCAATGCGAAATGCGAATTTCATTTCAATTTCAATTCACTAGTGGGCAATTAGTAAGGCGATGACTTCTCGGCCCGACTATTTCTGCTTTGGCACTGGAAATCAATGGAGTGGGGAGTTGGTATTGGAGTGGGAGTTGAAGTTGGAGTAGATGGAGTAGCGTACCCACTCCCATTTTCCCAATCCCCCACTCCCAATCGAATTGCAAGTTGCCAAACACGTTTGCCGGGCATTAGAATAGCCCCACTTGCGGGGTCAACAAACTCGCAGCTGGCAGGAATTGTTTTTTCCAACATACATATATCCCCATCCAGAAGAACCAAGAAGGAAGTCGTGCCTCCAGAGCCTCTGAACTGGCAATAGAAAAACAACGGAGTCAACAGCCTTCGGCAAATCCAGTTGGGACTTGCAAGTTGAGAGTTGCTAGCTGCTAGCTGCAGACAGCAAAACACAGCCAGCAACCAGCAACCAGCAACATCGGCGATCAGCAACAACTAGCAGCTAGCAACTAGCAACTAGCAACCAGCAACCAGCAACAGGTCTAGTCCTGCTCCGATCAACATTTAACTTTAACAACCGCTCTGGGGAGGAGCTGCGGCTCGAAATGGGCGTGCAACAAGCCTGGGCCCCCAATAACTGGTTTTCCTAGATAGATATAGACAGATAACACCGGCTAGAAAGTCGCTGCCCGGCTTCAAGTTGCAACAGCAACATCAGCAGCAGCAGCAGCAGCAGCAATAGCAACAGCAACATCAGCGGGAGCAGCATCCTGCAACCAGTTTACGTACAGTTCGCGTCCGTGTTATTACAGTCCCAAGTACATGGAGTAATTGCATAGAGCTTGGAGCTTGAAGCTTGAAGCTTGGAGCAGACCTGACCCCAGTCAAAGTCCCCAGTCCCCAATCCTTAGTCTCTAGTCTTCAGTCTCCGTGATGACCAAGCTGACGATGGGGATCGCTTTTGGGTTGGGGATGCACCGAAACAAATCTAAACTGATTCAATTTTAAAGAAAATTAATTTATGGTAATAGGGCAACATAGGTATATTGTATTATATATCATTACATATAAAGTAATGGTATTAAAATTGTATAAATAAGTCTTCTTCAAATCATTGATATCAATCATTGACATTTAAAAAGATTTGTTTGACATTAATCATTGAAATTAAATTTATTTAATATGTTGTTTACATTGGTATCAATTTAAGTATTCAATTTTCATTATTAAAATTAGTAAGTATTAAAATTGAAGAAAGCTAAATAATTTTAACATAGTTTCTTCGATAATTAGTTCCTAATTCTTTTAAAAATTGTTAGAAGTTACTTCGCTTATAAAGTCAAATTGCTAATTCACTTAGAAGAGTTCTACAACAAACATTGATGTGCTCTTTTGATTTGACATTATCAAATTAACAATTAAATACATTTTTTTTATCGTGTGCTTTTATAGTATGATGCTAGAGCTGCTGCATCTGGGCATCGGGCAATGAACTGATGGAAAGACAATAGGATCAGGTCCGGAGCCAAGAACCAACAGCCAAGAGCCAAGCCCTGATCTCGCACAGAGGCCCAATCTATAGCTTTGGATGCTTATGCTCCATGCTGCAAGCTGCTGCTGCTGCTGCTGCTGTTGTTGTTGTTGTGTTGTTTTGCTAAATTGGAAATAATTGCCCCGAGGCAGCGGCAGAATGCACGTGTGCACTTGTCAGGGGCAATGGCAAAACATATTTTCCAGGGTTTTTTGTTTCGTACCCTGCAACAAACTTGTGGATCACTTTTTCATATATAAACATTAATATAAAATTAAAATTGATTCCAAATTGAAAAAACATCAACAATTTTAAATATAAATCTCAATAGTAAAACCAAATTAAATATTATTGTCTAGTTCTAAATTATAAAATCGTTTTTTAAAATGTTATAGAGAATAATAATTTAAATATTCTTGCTTCTTTTTTCTTCAGGATTAAATAAATAATGTTTCGAAAGATCTTTAGAGATAATTTCAAAATGTTAAAGGATTTATTAAATTTGTTTATATGCAAAAGTAACAAAACAATGTGACTTTAAATATATTTATTTATAATACAAATATAAAATACTATTACTTATTAAATGTTGAAAGTGCACTTTTCCTAAGTCGATCAAAATAATAATGCTCTAAAATTAAGAGGGAGAATTTGCAGCTGGAAGAGCTGGAAGTTCCAGCCCCACCACGCCCTTTTGCAACCCCCCATGTCAGTCGATGTTGTTGTAGTTGATGCTTGTGCTTGTGCTGCTGCTGTTATCATTGTCATCGGCAGTTCTTGTTGTTGTCCGCTATGACATAAAGTACGCAACGGGAGGGAAAAGAGAGCGGGGGCGGAGAAGGAGAAGGAGAACATGCGAGTGAATCTGCAAAAGCAAACACAATAAGCAAACAAAACGGAGAGTCGCGCAAAATAATAATAACAATAAAGTCGACTACGGCACAATAAAAAAGTACAGGAAAGGTTCAACGACATTAGGAGATTAGAGAGCATTCACATGCGACTACGCAACGGCGGCAACAAAAAAAAAAACGGGGAGAGAGTGGATGCCATATGCACATTTAAATATGTAAGTGACGGAGAGAGCAGGAGAAAGAAAAAGAAAAAAAAGCAAACGACAACGCATAGAGCACGAAAACAACAAAAAAGAGCAGACCAAACAAAAAAGTCATCGACATCACATGGATTTTTATGTTGATGTTCGATGGGCGACAGGGGGTTAAGTGGGGGAAGGGGGAGCAAGGACAGGGGCGAGGGTCCATGGGGCAAAGGGGCCAAAGGGAGGGGGGGCGAGTCTAAAAGAGTCAGGGACAGGAACATGAACAACATCAACAACAACAACAGTGAACACAAAAACAGAGACAGCGACAGGAAAATGTTTTTCATTGTCTATGCCCGTTGGAGAAAAACTAAAAGCGGCCAGATGGAGCCGAAGTTGGATCGTTGGTGCACTGGAAAAAATTTCATATTCTAAATCTAACACTTTAAAACCTAAAATTACATACGAATATGGAATAAATTTTAAAATCGGAACAAAATCCCGAGAATCCTTGAGTTCTTATATATAAAAACAAATAGAAACTTAACAAAGTAAAAAGTGGTATTACCCTTGCTGTTTATAGTTTAAATCAATATTAATTTACATACAAATTTAGTTTAATTATTCCTAAACTCTAAAAGTTATAGAACTCAAGATCATTAAACGGAGTTTAACAGAAAACCAAATAACTAGATCATTAATTTCAGTGCAGGAGTTGGAGTCATCACAGTTGCGGGAGACATGCCCCATGCGTTTGCATAAGCAGCAGCAACAAAGACAGAAATAGGAAAGAGCCGAAGAAAAGGGAGTGGGTGGAGTGGTGGGGGGGGGAAAGTGCATAAAGACAGCCCATGCAAATGCTACCCCCACCATTCTGCTGCACCCCCCACTGCCACGCCCTTCGACTTCTTCGCATTTTGGCGTGTGTTGCACAAAATGCCTCACTTGGATGCATCGCTATTTCCAGCCACAAACAGATACATCTCCACATAAAGATCTCGATCTCGATCTCGATCCCGATCCAGATCCAGATCCAACCCCTGCATAGCTGGCAGGGCTAGAAGTCGGCGGCATTTGCTTACACTCAATTTGGATATTTAATTACGAGTGGGGATGGGAAATCTTCGGCCCCATCAGCCGCCTGGTGGTCGTCAATAAAAAAGTTGGGAGTCATAGTGCCGCACTTTGGATACCTCTTTTTTTTAGGATGAATGTGGCTATATTAACAAAAATGAAATTTAAGAGGAAGAGATCACTGAAAGAATGGGTAATACACATTTATTATTTATATTTATTAATTAATAAACATTTTCTACCCTTTTTTCTTACACAGCTAATTATTGACAGTTAAATTTAGTACTATTTTTACTAGTTTTGATTATATTACTTTATGAATCTTTTCAAGCAATAGTGTTATAATAAGGTTTCACACTTTAAGTGCCATAAGCAATATACTCTCAACCGAAACGAGAAAAGGGTTAGAGCTGAAGTGCTGAGAGGCTGTTCGATTTGATTAGGTTTTCAAAAATCAATTCTCCAAAGGCAACGGAATTTATTTGTTTTGCCGCCTGTGTGAGAAAATAAACATGGAGCAGCATCCCAGTGTCTGCCGATGTCTTGGCCATAAACTCCGGGAATAGTGGTGATAATGGGAGGTGAGTGTGGGGTCCGGAGTGGGGAACCTGATCCCTGGAACTTTCTTTCTTTCCAACCAGCCAAGCGATTGTCTCGCCTTTGTTTGTTATCACTTGAAGTTTGAGCAGTTTTACGAATTGATTAAGGCGGCATTTGTTTACGAGCAACAGGTAAACAGTGAGTGAAATGAGGAGGACAAAGGGAGAATCGGTTGAGAAAGGGTTATATGGGTAGTAAAGGGGTTCCGGACCTGATCGCACATCCAGGGAGGGAAACGAAGTTTTGGGAAGCCGACAAACTTTCCGTTTAAATGCTTTTACAGTTGAATTGCAAGCATGTTCTGAACGGCAGTTTTTGTACCCGGTACTTGTGGGCTTCAATGGGTATATTGTATTTCACTCGACCAGATGTTGGTTGCCAATCAGAACTGGGTTTAGTTGACTTGCCAACTTAGTTATATCATTTGAATAATGTAATCATTAGTTTTTACCCTAAATGCTTCATTAAATCATATAATATAATTTATTGAAACCTTAAAAAATGATCTAACGGTCTAATCTTGATTTCTGGAAACCACACAAACAGTATATTTTTATCTTGTGACTATATGCTACTGGAATTCTTGATGAATAAGATGATGAGCTAGGAAAGACACTGATTTATATAGAGCTTGTTGAACATGCTATATAGGCAATGAGTATCTCCTAGTCGAAAAGGGTTTGTTTTTGGATTTTTCGAATTGTTTATGTGCAATGTTCTGTGTTTTATTTGACGACTTCGAAATCGTCTGCGTCTCCGCTTCAGATCGCTTGGGTTCTGTGGGGATCGGTTCTGTGCTGATTAACCAAAGCATGACGGATAACTGACGCGGCCAGCACACCTGACAATTTGTTAATGAGAGCAACATCGTCGGGTCTCAAAGGCGGCAGGAAGCCAAGCGGTAAAGCCAAGCCGAAAAAACGAGAACGATCCAAAAAAAAAAAAGCGAGCAGGAAAGCAATGCAAGCGCAACGGATGACGGATGTCCTGCAGCGGAGTAATGGCCAAAACGAGTCAGAACAAAACGGAGCGGAGAACATAACTAACTGCAGTAAAAATGTAAATAATGCAAAACATTTTCTCACCGCGTTTCGCTGCGCCGCACTTTTCAGGCTTCCCCACAATTTGCTATATCTTTTTTTCTTTTTTGCTTTTTTTTTGTACCTCGACATACATACCCCTCTTTTTCCGCCGGAAGGGAACTTGTTTCATGGGAAATTAAATGCAAGTGCTATCGACAAAAAAAAAAAAAAACAAAAAGAACAAATCATATGAGAGATCAGCAGAGCTTTCTAATTGCGATGACAGTCAAAACATGCAGCAGCTGTGAGATACAAGATACACGATACCAGATACAAAATGGATAGATGGATGGATGGATGGATGGATGGATAGCTGTCCAGGGCACAACATATGGACGCAGAAACTGAGATGACCTTTTTTCCAATAATAAATGGATATGCATATGTATCCCTATCCCTGTAGCGTCTGCTGGTGTGTGCACTTCCCCCCGCCCAACCCATTTGTAGTGAAATTTAATCAAGCGTTTAATGCCAAGGTGGAACGTCCATGGAACATAATACACAAGCCATCAGTAGTGAAGCCAAGGGAGGGGAGGATGCACACAGAGAAAATAAAGGACCTTTTCTAATTTAGTTTGATACATTTAATTAAAACTTTCAGAAAGCTCTTTACTAGAACTGTAAGCATCTCTAAAATATTCATATTTTAAAATTAAAAATTTTATTCACCGTTTGCAACCATTGCGTACTTAACCGCCAATAAATTTCTTTATTAATGAATAAATTCAAATAAAAATGTATATGGCTAAGCTAATCTTTAATTTTTTGTTACATTGTACAATGAGTGGATGTAAATATTTAGCAAACAAATAACAAGCTGACGTGTTTAATTTTGATACATGCAATACTTATATTTATTTGCTAATAAAGCGTTAACAACTTGGAAACATACATAATAAGGAGCTTTATAAAAAGTGATAAAAATTTTTACTGAAGCTTAACACATCTGTTTATAACGAAATTTATTAGCCATCGTTTAGTACCGCATAATTGATGGTTTATTAAGGAATTCTTTAATACGTAAATGAGGCAGTAGGCAGAAGTTGATGTTTTAATGCCACATTTTAGATTTCATAAACAAATTTTTCCCTGTGCATTGAGGGTGGATGAGGGGCTTGGCCCGAGCGAGGGCGTTTTTAGTGATGCTGAACCGGGTTCTACTGGGCTGGGTTGGTTTGGTTTGGTCGGGTTTGTTCGGGTTTTCGGATGGGGATGGGCCCAGCTCGGGCAGCTTGATGTGCCTGTCATATGTCAGTCCGTCTTTTCTTCCTGTCCTCTCACCTACGACGCTGGTTAATGACATTTTGCAGTTAATTGCCGCCGCTGCTGCTGCTGCCATATGGGCCATGGTCATGGTTTCGGCCAAAAGCAGCATCGAATGTGAGATCTGGGGCCTGGAGTTTAGGTCTGGGTAAACGAATATGCGTCTGTAGGCTGCGCGTTGCATTTCCAGGCAATGTAATTTGACTACATTAACTGAATATGCCATAACATGATCAGGCGAAAAGAGAAAGGCCTGAGGGTTGGGGGTTGTGGGGGTTGGGGGTAACATGGAAAGTGAGGGCGGGTTTCGAACTCTAATGATGCTGTGTCAGTGGCTAATCCATCCATCAGACTCAATGCCAAGTACAGTTTCTGTGGCTTGGTAATAAAAAGGGAGAGTTTTAACCTAAACTAATAGTAATAGTATTGTTAAACAAAATTATGTAACAAATTTTGTAACAATCCAGTGTTCATTTAAAGTGTCCGTTTTAATAAAGGGTCCATGCTTTGGGTATTGCTTGCAATCTTATATCATTTAACATGCTTCGATCTTATTTCTGGAGATAGGGCACAAAAACAACACAAGGTCCCCCTTTAAAATCAGCTATCTTTTGATTGCCTTTCAATATTAACTGCCATTATCGGATCAGTTAAACGTCATGTTACTATTTTTGAGGATTCATCGACGGGTTTTATCTTTATGGCGCGTATATATTTTATCTTGCTGGTTAAAATAGACAACAACAAAAAGAAACAAATAAAAGAATAGTATTTTGAAATTGGTTTAATCAAGACAAATTCAAGGATATTTTATCTACTACAAAATTGCAATGAGAAAAGCCAAATCAGAATTTCTTTCTATTCTATTTCCTATTGGATTGATTATTTGACATCTGTGCCATTGGTTTTCGTTGGGTGATTAGTTAGTAATTAGTCGCAAAAAAAGCCAGTCATCTGTTTAGCCCAACAATGATCCTCACTGTATTCCCCCATTTAACATGCTCAAATCTGACATTTTGGATTGCCACACAATATCAACCGTCATTATCGGATCAGTCAGAACGTCAGGCTGCTATTGTTGACGATCCGATCCCCCTTGCTTAACCTTATCTTTTTGGCGCGCACTTTTCCCCAGGCTGGTGGTGAGCAGGTAATATCCTAGAGACAACAACAACTAAACAGGAATCAGATCCAAGTAGGCAGGTACATATGCTGAAAGTGAGGGGAAAGTCGGGGGCGAGGGACTTAGGCGTAGGACGTAGGACGTAGGACGTGGGACGTGGGACGTGGGACGTAGCGTAACCGGCAATACTATATATATTGGCAGCAAACCAGTTTTTATAATGTCAATTCGAATCCTACACGTTCATGTCCATCCACACGCATTAAGCGCGACAGTCGCAAGTCCAAATGATGACGATCACCGGCGACAGAGAGCGAGTATCGGACGCGGGAAAGAGATGGCGATATTGAAGCAGAAAGAGACGGGGTATAACATGGGTAGGGGATTTGTTAAGGGGCATGGCACAAGGAACAAGGAACTGAGAACTGAGAACTGGGAAAGGTAAAGGTAGATGTAAAGGTAAAGGGGATGCGAGGATCGTCGAGTTGTTGGCGTTGAATTTGATTTTGATTTCACCTGAGTGGCTGAGCCTTATTCCCTGCCCTTTTGTTGTTCTTCTTTTCTCGGGCCTATTTTGTTTTTATTTTATATTTCTGCTTTGCTCTGCTTGCCTTGGCCGTGTTCTTGTTTTTTATTTTTTTTTTTGTTGTCAACCAACGCAGCAAACAAATGCAAAGCAACGACCTACGACTTCTTCACGTGAGTTGTGTATTGTCCTTTACTTTTGTCCTTTTGTATTTAGGTACAGTGGGTATTGGAAGTTTTTTTTTTGTGGCATTTTTTTTTTAAAGGGTTCGTAAATATTTTACGATATTGCAATATTAATTTTTTATTAAAAAAGGTATAGGTTAGTTTTATAAAACAATTGTTTGCTCATACAAAAGTTTATGAATCTTAAAAAGGT